CTTATATGTAAGTCAAAATTGGTCAATAATATAAGATGGTAAAAAAAAAAAAAAAAAAAAAAAAAAAAAAAAAAAAAAAAAAAAAAAAAGAATCTCTGTTCAAAATGTGAAATTTACTTTGGTAACAATTAGATCTGTGGGTTCCTTCAAGGGCTGGGTAAGTGATGCAGCAGGATTTGGCCCACAGGATGGCGGTGGTTTCTGGGTACCAGCTACAACTGATAGTACCGTGTAGATTTCAGCAGGCCCCGCTTCCTCTCAGCGATAAGCAGAGGTGTGGTAACCTGAGACAGGTAACATTTGCAGCCTTGATGCTTCCTGTCCATTGCAGTGCGGCCTCATTCGGGCCTGTAATGGATTCCTTCCCTACGAACAACCAGACACCTCCCTTTACTACCCAGACCTGCTTTCACTCTGCCAGAACTTTCTTTAGCGGGACCATTAAAATTCCTTAGATTATGAGGCCTTGGAATTGCATAACGCTGCACTGATTCCTGGCAGGGAGAGCACAGTCTGATGGAAAAGCCACGTCAGATGCCGACTCTGGAAGCTTGTTCTACCTCCCACCTTCCCCCAGGAAGTGCTGAGCTCTCTGTCCCTGGTAGCCCCACGTGAACAAGAATTCAAGATAATGGCCAAAGCACACTTCTTTCAGGACACGTCCCATCCAACCTCTCTGCTATTGATTCTGCTGCAAATGTAACCCCTCTTTTTCTGACACAACACACGCCTCTCCCCACCCACTCAAGAGTGTAATATTCATCCTCTCTAGCATTAACACAAACTGATTATGGCAAAACAACCCACAAAGCCAGCTTGACTGAACAACCACTGGCCTGTTTCCCTTAATTTCTCCAAAATGTCTACCTTTTTTTTTTTTTTTTTTTTTTAAATTTTTCTTTTTTTTCTTTTGGGCTGCCATTTTTAGGGAACCTCAAAGAAAGGTTTGTTTTACCCATTTTTCCTTAGAACATATGATATCAGACATATCATGTTTAGAGTTTTGTTGTCAACTCTTACTTAGTTCTTTAGAGCAAGGGAACAAAACGAAGTTAAAATTTATGAATGGCTGGACAGTGAGCAGAGTCTTTGCTAATTTCAATGCTTGCTCAGTGTCTCCATGTGGGACCACATCCAGGTAGGTTTTCCTGGATGCTTTTCCTAGACTCCGCTGGCCTGGCCTTCTCCCGCAGGAGGCAAATGTGGTTGTGGCTGGAGTAGGTGCTAGCGATCTCTTCATCTCTGGTTAGAATCCTCTTTCAATAGAGTTGAGAGAGCAAGACTGTTCTGCTACGTTTTATTTGTATTTGGAAGGAGGACTCACTGTCTCTTCATTCTAGAGCACATGTGTCAAACACAAGGCCCGCGGGCCAAATCCGTCCCGCCAGGCCTTGCAATGTGGCCCGCACCGCGCTGTCATCACTGCACTCCGCTGCGTTTCCATCACAATGACAGTTTATGACTGTTCAGTAAACCATTCGGCCCGCGATTTAGGCTGGATTTTAGATTTTGGCCCCTTCTCTGATTGAGTTCGACACCCCTATTCTAGAGGGTGGCGATGAACTCGCCTCCACAATGACTAAGAGCTCATTGGCATGGCCACCCTCAAGTAAACATGAGCTTGACCCAATCCTGCCCACAGAGAGCTTTTAGTTAATTCTAGAGACTCCACTGTACTTCTCTCTCTCCCTATCTTATAGTCTTTTTATCCAGTTTTCTTTCAAGGCAATAATCCAAAGAACTTTTCCCCTTTCTCTTTTCCAACTTTCATCTGCAACTCAAACTAATGCGCATGGCAAAAATCTCTCCCTCTATGTCTGCAGTAGACTACCTGAGTTCCACCTTCCCTGTAACACTATACGTCCCTGCCCATTGTTGCGTGACTTGTGGAGTCTGTGGGCAGTGTTGTCAGGTGTGGTCATGTGTCTTGCATGGGCCAGTGTCACAGGAGCGGAAGTGGCAGTGGGCCAGTCTGGAGAACAAGTTTTTAGAGTTGGCTTAAAACTTGAAGACATGGTTGCTTGTTTCTACCAGCTTTCTGCCTTCCTTTGCCTTGATCCAAATACAGCCTGCACTTTAGTTTGGGTCTTAGAATGACAAGACATTAAGAAGAGCTGGCCGAAACCAGTTTGGCTCAATGGATAGAGCGTCAGTTTGGGGACTGAAGGGTCCCGGGTTTGATTATGGTCAAGGGCATGTACCTTGGTTGCGGGCACATCCCCAGTGGGGGGGGGGTGTGCAAGAGGCAGCTGATCGATGACTCTCATTGATGTTTCTAACTCTGTATCTCTCTCCCTTCCTCTTTGTACAAAATCAATAAAATATATTAAAAAAAGAAAAAAAAAAAAAGAAAAAAAAAAAAAAGAAGATCTGCAGTTGGTCACTGTGTCTCAGTGGTTGAGCATAGACCTATGAACCAGAAGGTCTTGCTTTGATTTCTGGTCAAGGCTCAATCCTCAGTAGAGGGTGTACAGGAGGCAGTCCATCAATGATTCTCTTTCATCATTGATGTTTACATCTCTCTCTCCCTCTTCCTTGCTCTCTGAAATAATATATATGTATTTATGTTATTTATATGTATATATGTATATATGTATATATCCTATTTTATTAAATAGGATATATACATATATACAATATATATCCTATTTAATAAAAGAGTAATATGCAAATTGACTGTCACTCCAACACACAAAATGGCGCCCCCATGTGGTCAAAGATGGCCACCCCCATGTAGACACAAGATGGCCAGCAAGGGAGGGCAGTTGGTGGTGACCAGGCCTACAGGAAAGGGCAGTTGGGGGCAACCAGGCCTGCAGGGGAGGGCAGTTGGTGGTGATCAGGCCTACAGGAGATGGCAGTGAGGGGTGACTACAGGGAAGGGCAGTTAGGGGCAAACAGGTTGACAGGGGAGCTGTTAGGCATCAATCAGGCTGGCAGGCAGAAGTGGTTAGAGGCAATGAGGCAGGCAGGCAGGCAAGCAGTTGGGAGCCAGCAGTCCTGGATTGTGAGATGTCTGACTGCCCATTTAGGCCCAATCCTATGGATATCCTTTGAGGGGTCCCAGATTGGAGAGGGTGCAGGCTGGGCTAAGGGACACCCCCACCTCCGTGCATGAATTTTGTGCACTGGGCCTCAAGTATATATACATATATAAAAAAGATCTGCAGCCCTGGCCAGTGTGGCTCAATTGGTTGAAGTGTCATCCCATGCACCAAAGGGCAACATGTTTAATTCCTGGTCAGGGCACATGCCTAGGTTTTGGGTTTGATTCTTGGTCCATAAGAGTATGGGTGGCAACCGATCCATGTTTCTTTCTCATTGATGTTCCTTTTTCTTACTCCCTCTCTTTTCCTCTCTAAAATCAATAAAAACATATCCTTGGGGAGGATTTATTATTATTATTATTATTATTATTATTATTATTATTATTTTTAAAGAAGAGCTGCAGTTAACCCACAGCCACCAAACTGATGTGAGAAATAAAAATAATATAAAAATAATGTTTTCATAATCCATTAAGAATTTTAGGATCCTTTGTTTCTGCAGCAGAGACAATACAAAAACCAAATCAAAAACAATAAATAGACCTAAATAGATATTTTTTGAAAGAGGACATACAGAAGGCTAAGAGACATATGAAAATATGCTCAAAGTCACTAATCATCTGGGAGATGCAAATCAAAACAAGTGAGGTACCATCTCACAACTGTCAGAATAGCTATCATCAATAAATCAAAGACAAGTGCAGGCGAGGATGTGGAGTAAAAGGAACCCTCTGGCATTGCTGGTAGGACAGCAGACTGGTGCAGCCGCTGTGGAAAACAGTATGACATTCCCTCAAAAAATTAAAAATGAAACTTCTATTTGACCCAGTAATCCCACTTCTAGGAATATATACCAAGAAAACAGAAATAGCAATCAGAAAGGATATGTGCACCCTTATGTTCATAGCAGCACAATTTACAATAGCTGAGATTTGGAAACAGCCTAAGTGCCCATTAGCAGATGAGTGGATTAAAAAACTATGGTACATCTACACAATTCTTACTACACTGCTATAAAAAAAGAAAGAATTATTATCATTTGCAACTGCATAGATGGAACTGGAGAGCATTATACTAAGTAAAATAAGCCAGTAAGAGAAATACAAATATCACATGATCTTATTGTGGAATAGAATGAACAACATAAACTGATGAACAAACATAGTACCAGTCATGAAAGCATTGAGCGGGTGGTCCAACCTATGAGGGAAGGCAGGGGCTCAGGGGGATCAACCAAAGGACTTGTGTGCATGCATATGAGCATAACCAATGGACACAGACAGTAGGGAGGTGAGGGCATGTGTTGGGGTGTGAGAGCGGCTGGGGAGAGATCAATGGGGGAAATGTAATACTTTAAACAATAAAGAATACAAAAGAAACAATAAATGGAAGATATAATAAATGAAATAGTCACAATTCCATCACCTTTATTTATATAAAACTATATTAAATAAATTATCTCAATATATACAAATAGACCAATATTACCTCTATAAATAGAAAGTCCCCATATATAAAACCTTTAAAAAATTTTATAAATATACACAATGTTGACCATATAAACTTGAAGTACCTTAAATCATAAACTTTAGTTTTTGAATAGTAGTCTTATAAAAATATAGCTAGCTGTCAAGTGTTTAATCAATAGCATTTAAGTCAGTTAAAGTGCTAAACTGTAATGCATATGTCCAAAGTTGTCAGGCTTGGTCAGGCAAAGCAGAAGTCTTCTGCATTTAACACATGCATATGTTTTGCCAACTGTTTTGAACCTCCAAAAGAACTCTTGAGAAGAAAACAAACACCGAAATTCCACATTTTAAAAGGACAGACACATGTTAGAAAAGTCCACCCAATTTCCATTTTACTCTCCCACATGGCTTGAAGTCAGCGCGTTGAAAGTACTCCAAAAGTCCACCCAGGACTTTTTAAAAGCATTTGTTCATTTGTTTTTGCTTAGATGACCTTGTTTCGTCTTGAGTGTAGAAAATACAGTCTAAAGCATGATATGTGCAAAAGGTGCCGTAGTGTTTAAAAAAAAAATACATTAAGAAAACTTGGAATTGGCTGTACCGTTCGTTACATTCCAAAGTGACTAGTGCTGGTCTCAAAACCAGAATGCTTATCATGAGAACAGTCAAATAAATAATTTCCTTTGGGCCCAAGGATCTCCATGCTCCAAAATATTCATTTTTGTTTCCATATATTCCATTCTTTTCAAAGTTCTCTGTCGCAGTGCTATATAAACTCTGTGGAAGTTGGCAGCTCCAGTGTCACGCGCTTTACGCAACACCGTAGGGGGAGCCCTCCTTGCCACTTCGCCTTCTTCTGTCCTTCCTGCACTTGTACAGACACAGGGCCAGGGTGATGATGAAGATGATGGCTACGAACACCACTGCTCCGATGATGAAGAAGATGTCTGAAAAAGAAAAGTTACCAAGTCAATGTGGAGAGAGAGCTTGAATCTCACTTATCGGTGGACAGAACTGAGGGCTTCACTCCAAATTACACCATCCTGCTTTTGTGTAATTTGAAATTTCTTTCCTCTGCTCTTTCCACCACAACGCATTTTGGTTAGGAAAGAATTTGTCAAACCCTAGGTGTTGTAGGGCAATTGACAAAGGCCAAAAGCTTTAAGTAGGCCATTTAGTAAACTGGATAATGTTCATAGTCTAGAGAAGGTACACATAGATTGAAGGAAGAACAGCTGTTAAAAACAATCGGTTAAAAATAGTGCATGATGCTGAGTTTGGTGGTAAATGATTACAGTAGATGAACTAACAGAGGGCTACCAGAATTCAGCTCAGAGAGATGATAACTGGCTGGGGCAATAAGAAGGCTTCCGGGTGGAGGTGGCAATCACAATGGTTCTCAAAGGACGCATTTCAGCAGATACAGAAGAGGACTGGGAAGCAGCGACCGGGATGTGCACGAAGACAGAGGCAGTGGAAATCGAGTTGGCTTTAGGAAGATGGATGTGAGGGCTGTGGGTATGATGGCCCAGAGGGTGCAGGACCAGAGAGAAGGAGGGTCCTTTCCTTCTGTCAGTGTCAATAAATGGAGGAGAATTTATATTAAAATGTTTTTAAAATTTAAAATCTCTTCTTGGCAAGGAGCTAGGCCATCGTTACTATCTTTTGACTTTTAATCCCTGGAAGTACTCAGAGCACTTTCTTTACAAAGCCTGGAGAGAGACTCCTAGGCTTACAGTTTCATGTACATACATGTGTACATACCCACAGAAATTCCTGTTAGAAGTCTCTCCTCACTGTGTGTGGGCCCCGTGTGTGCATGCATGGACACACATACATGGGTATAGGTGACAGACTGAATCTCTTCCCTTGATGGGTTAGACTTTACAGCCCACTGTGGGTGCTCACAGCTGGTCCAGATGCTCCCCCCTAAACCCCAAAGATTAGAATTTAAGCATGAAAACATGCCCAGAGAAATCTGTGATCCATACTAAACCCCAAACACGGACTATGTGCCTAGCACTCAGCAGAGAGCTTAGTGCAAGGTAGGCGCTCAAGAAAATACTCGCCACTGTAAGAAACAACAGAGAGACATTTCTAACTGCCTAAAAACACAAAACCAAGAAAAACCAAGACGTGTCTCTCTGAACAGAGGACATCCTGGTTCTGCGGGTGGAGCCGGTCCTCTGGAGGGCACCTGTGCCTCCGCGCCTGCCGGGCAGAGCCACTCACCTTTGAAAATGCCCTTCTCGTGGCTGGTGCACTCAATGGGGCTTTCTGGACTCTTCTGGTTAGCTTTTCGTGAGGCAATCACGGCTTGAACATTGAAACAGTAGTTTTGTCCTTTCTCCACATCAATCGAAAACTCATTAGTGTTCGTCTTGACCATTTTCTGTTAAAAGATAAAGAGTTCTTAATGCATCTGGGCTCCAAGTGAGTTCTCTCTCCTTTACCCGGTCACTGTGGAAGCAAAAGCCTACGCGGACACATCTGACGTATACAGGACTAGAAGTCACTTGGCTAAATATTCCCGTGCTAACTGCTGAGGGTGCTTTTTCCCAACAGTAGAGATTTCCAACTTAGTCCCTGTAGGAGATGTAAAGGAAAGGAAGGATGATGCATTAATTGTTGAATGGAAAACAAATTTTGTCTCTGTGATCCTCCATAGAGAAAGAAATGTGAGACCTGACAGGAACTTTAGAGATGATCTGGTCCAGCCCCTTGGCTGAGGAACATGGGCATCCAAAGGGGCCTGGCCCAAAGTCACAAGGTCACTCAAAGTCACCGGGAGAACCAGGACAGCAAGCACCCCTCTCACCCCTCTTACCCACCACACCGCCCTCTGAACCACCCCATTCTGCTACTTTTGAATTGGGGCAGAAGAGGGTTGTAAAATCAAGGGGCCACGATTTAAAGTAAGTCATAGAAACCAGTGAAAAAAACCCCTCACCTTTCCTGTACTTGAAGCTTTCCAATAGTAAAGTGTGTAACTTAAGTCCTCGCCAAAGACATCCCGGAGGCTCAGGAATGTGCCATTCTTTCTGACTAAGGTCCTTGTATCCTGTACCGTCACATTCAGTTTTGTCCCAATTTGCTCAAAACTCTGAATTGTTGGCCGTCCGAGGCTTGCTAAAACAGAAAATAAACTTCATTGGAACCAAAGAATTCTTTACAAATAGAACCCCATTTAGTTGTCACAGTTAATTCCCTGGTCATCCCTCATAAAACACCTGCTGAGAACCCGCTCCCTAGCAATAGTGAGGCAAGAGGCACCCGAGACTTGCTATAGAAGCGCTATCCATTGGATGTATAACCGGAGCCACCGATGTCAAGTTGCATTTCCTTGCAATCACATTAGAAAATGTGAAAAGGAAAAGGTGAAATGAATTCCAGTAATACAATTTATTTAACCCATTATAGTGAAAATAATATTATCATTTCAACAGGTAATCAATCTAAAACTTTTGGAGATATCTTTCAAAATCTAGTGTGTATTTTTTTACCCATATAGCATTTGCCACATTTCTAGGGCTCAATAGCTATACATGGTTAGAGGCTACTGAATTAAACAACACAGTTGCATAAGATTCCATATTTTAGTTAAAATAAATAAGGGCTGTGGGAAAGTCCAGGAGATGTCCTGGCACCTCAAGGAACCAGTGTTAAGCCCTGGGAGTCTGGAGGGCTCAAAGATCCCAGGGGCTATGAATAACAATAAAATTAATCCCAACAATTTAACACAAATTACGTGTGGGCACATGCAAAATAAATATGCAAACTATATTTTATCTTGTACCAAAAAGGGATTTAAAATGGTCCACAAAAAAACCCAAAAACTATAACAGAAAACCAAGTGGGTGCCATCGACGGAAGGGGGACAATCAGTGACCGGGGCAGAGTTACCAGAGGGGGCGTGAATGTGGTGTCCAATGCCCAGCTGGATGCCGAGACAAATACACAAGCGAAAGACAGGTTCTGGCAGACAGGGGCCCAGGAGAGGCAGCCAGACCCACCTGGGCTAAGGTGACCTTCTGTTTCGACCCTCCAAGTAGATATCAGAGGGGAAAGGTTGATTGCTTGTCCCTCTGCCCCTTCTCACCATTCCCGCCTCCAGAAACTCTCCTCTCTCACTGGGTGGTCAGAGGGGTAGATAGAAAAGGACCGACAGCATGACCCTTTCATTTTAACCTTTCATTCTAGGTCTTCCTCAAAGGCCTTTGAAGATTTAAAGACCTTAAAAGACCTTAAAAGATTTCACCCTTCCCAGTGTGTTTACAGGTTTATTTAAAATACCTAGTTGAGAGCCATAGTCAGGCCAAAAAATGTAATCTCCTACTTGGCGGGGATCCTGTGCATTTCCCTGGGGGATACTAAGGTCCGCTTACTGGGACAAAGGCGGAGGAGGAAAACACTCCGCACTTTCAAAACCTGCACGAAGCAGGCAGGCTGGGAGCGGCTGGGCAAGAGCCCGGCACAGCACGAGGCTCAACCTTGGCCAGATGAGGTCAGCAAGCCTGACTCTGGATCAGAGGGAAACTGGACTTTCCCTGAGCAGTTGTGACTGTGAAAACTGTAAACTGGGACTTCTGGTCTGATGATGGGATGGAAATGGTGTGTGTGTGTGTGTGTGTGTGTGTGTGTGTGTGTGTGTATGTATGAGTTTAAGTGTATATGCATGTAAATAAAATTTCCAAAATATATATGGAGAAACACTGAAACCCAGTCCTGGTGGATGTCCTAGTCCCTCAGGCCCCATCCAGCCTGTTACTGGCACGGTCTGGGCTTGGGCTGGTGGAGAAAATTACTTGATGACACTGTTATCATCTCCAAAGTTCAAGCACAGGGCACCTCCTACTACACTGGAATGAGTGAAGAGGACTGGGGCACTTTCTGAGAAAAAAGATGTGGTTCTGAAGAAATCTTGTCTGATCTACTGGCCCCTAAGGGTCATGAGCTCACAAAAAGATCCAGGAGCTTGTAGAAATGAGAATGAAACGGATCGACTTACTCTCTAAGTAAGGAATGAACTCCGGGGAGTTTGTGTACTTGGGCTCCCCCTCGTAACCGGTGGCATTGGCAGGCATGGAAAGGACCCGCGCTGAGTACGTCTGCTTCACGTCTTTCACAATCTCATCAGTGAGGTCACACTCTGTGTCTGTGATGGAGTAGCATTTGCTTTTCCAATTTCCTAATCTATGGCTAAAGGAAGGAAGAGAAATGGAACATTAGGATTTGTATCCAACAAGACAGATGGCTTTCTGGCTGTGGTGCTGTTACAATAATAGCATCCACAACCACTCGTGAGCAGGCAATCCCATGCTTAGCACTGTAGATGCACTAGAGTCCTCACAGTCACCTGGGGTGGCTCTGTAACCATCTCTCTTTTCATAATAAGGTAACCAAAGCAAAATGAGATTAGGTGGCCAGCTCAGTCACACAAATGACCTAACTTTAAGGCAGACAACAGTTTTTGGGGTCTGCTCTTAACCATTTTGTTAACTATCTTTCTTAGAATGTACACAATTTTTTATTAAGGCCCGATTACTTAGTATATTGTACTACATTCTATTTATTATAAACATTCTATATTGTAGACATTCTTTGTAGAATATAGACAATGTAGTAATAATGGAATCTAAATGATATATTCTACACATTACATTCCATCACAACAATTGTTGGTGTGGTTATTTAATATTTATTGAATCTACTACATGCCAGGTACAATACTAGGCCCTTTACACGTTACTTCATTTGATATGATCCTTCCAAGAAGGTATTGGATCTTTTTTTAGACACAAGGATACTGAAGCTCAATACACTAAGTAATTTGTACAAGGTCATGTAACAAGGTGAGAGCTGTGTCTGTTCAATCTCATTCTGCTACACGCCTCTCTCACTTTTAAATGATGTGACTACTTCCCAATAAAGGTATCAGAATAACAATAGTATCTCTCTCACAAAGCCTGACAGACTAAGAGGCTAAAATACCTTCCTTCATTGAAGAGGAAATTATTTAAAAAACTTCTATAAATACAAAATTATTTTAAAGGACTCAAACAATCCATAGGTAAATGTTTCTGCGACTTGATCCACACATTTCTGTCCTTTCTGAATTGACAGCCACACTGCTCTTCCCTTCTCTTCAGCATTATCCACTGCCTCCGCCCCGTCCGTCATTTAGGGCCTTGTTCCAGTCCCATTTCCCCTGGGAATTCCAGATCTCCTTGCTCAGATCGGATCTCTTTCCTGCTGTTCCCCAGCACCGATCTCTTCACTAAAGCACTTCATGTTGAACACAGTCTACATGGGACCAGGGGTCCATGCCCTTGTGTTTGCTGTCAAGCAGCAAGGCTTTAGGGCTTACACACCGCAGGCCTTGCTCAGTATTAGATCGTTGGCATTTACAGGTTGAATTAGGGGAAAAACAAACTGAATTCAATCCATGCCCATGAGCCATAAACAGGTAGTTTTCAAAAATTGGAGCTAAGTAACACTTTGTCCTAAAATTCACAAACTAACATTGATACTGAAAGATTTTGATTTCTTAGATTTCTCTGATTTTCTATGATAGAAGTAGAGAGGCTGTTTTAATTCTGGAGTGAAAAAGGTGAAGGAAAACATGATGATTCTTCATCCTATGGCAAACATGTTGTTCAGATAACAAGAGAAAGACTGCTGGGCTCGGAGGCTACATTCCATCTGACAGATCCGTATTTGGCTTCTCCCAGCTCACCCATAGGAATTACAGCACTCAACATCACCGAAGCCAGTGACACGGGTAAAGTTGCGTAAACAAGTAGTAAAGGGGCAATTCTGAAGTAAGCTCCTCTGAGCACTGTTACCAGCACTAACACTTTAAAAGCCTTCAAGGATCCTCTAAGTACTCATTAAAAAATCTCCTGACTTGGAAATAATAAAAGTCCTGCCTCAATTACTAAAAAATTCCAACGGAATCAAGACTCATAATAAAAATCCTGCCTCAAACACTGAAGAGTTCCAACGGAATCAAGACTCGTCAACATAGGAACTGGTTGTTTTCTAGAAGCTTTTAAAGTTCCATTTTAGAATTCAAACATTCCCATGGGATCAGTCTTACAGGTGATGTTTCAGTGCTTGAGCCAATAGCAGTTTGCAACCATCACTGGAACTATTTCCAAGTGGGAAAAACACAGTTGGAGCTCCAAGTAGGGGCTGCAGGCCCAGCAGTGGTGTCCGGTGGCTGGGGACAGGCCAGTGGTGGGTGCAAAGGAGCAGCAGGTGGAGAGGAGTAGGAGGTGGAGATGCTGCCTTTAGAGAAGGAAAACCGGGGGCCCCAATGAGAAGAAACCTCACAGAAAAACCTGAGGAATAAGGGGAAACTGGTGTTTTGGCACCAACCCTTCTTCCTCCTCCCAGCTGTCGGGGAGCTCACATCGGCTGTGGCAGACCTGCCAGAAAAGGTGGTGGTGGTAGAATACTGGGCAGACCTTGGTTCTAGACCCAGCTGGGCACTTATCATCAATTAATTAACTCATGGATTAATCCCTCATCTTCCTAGGGCAGTGGTCAGCAAACTGCGGCTCTGTTGACTAATGAGTTTGCCGACTACTGACCTAGACTCTCAATTCCAATAACTACAGGCTGCTGTTGTTCCTTGTGATTAAGCCCCTATCCCCATGGTTGGCAAACTCATTAGTCAACGGAGTGGCAAACCGTGGCTCGCGAGCCACATGTGGCTCTCGAGCCACAGTTTGCCAACCACTGTCCTAGGGCAATGGTTTCCTTTTCTTTAAAATGACTGCTGTGATCCTGTTCACCAGGAATCCCGTTTACCTCACAGCGACAGCACAGAAGAGGGAGGTCTGCAGCAGGGTGGAGGGACTGCTCGCAGGTCCTCTAGCACGTGGGGGAGAGTATGAGGAGAGCTGGGCTCCGCAAGAACACCGAGTCCACGGGCACCCCCAACCAGCATCTCTGAACCAGGATGTTTGCACACCGCGGCTGCGTTCACCTGAAGAGCAGCCCTGGGAAGTCCAAGTACTGAGAGCTAACAAAGGCTTGTATTTAAAAACCAGGGAAACCATAAATATCTTCCCACACACTCACTAGACATAAGATTGAATATATTTAGGAGGTAAGCATTTCTCCTAAAATGTTACTTTCAATCTCTGGAAGAAAAGTATCTACTGAAGTTAACTTCAGCTCTGTATTCTTGACTAGTGGAATCCGAATTGACAACTTTGACCATATTTGTAATTATGACCTCAGGTTATGAAATTCCTTTCTCTCCCTCCCTCTGGCTACACATACATTTGCGCGCGCACACACACATTCTCTTCTCTGTTGGTTTGGCAACAGTCATCATGGAGTTCATTTGAACAACAAGAACATCTACCTAAAAGACTGCCTCTGTGTAGGAGTTGCTTAAAAGGCTTGACAAAATAAACAATACAAAAAGCAAAACACCTTAATTTTAGCCAGTGATACTTTTGTGCTTTTACACAATATGTTAAAATAATTTCCACAGCTGCTCTCCTAATTAATAAGATCTCTACCAAGCCTCCTAGAACCTTTCAGAAATGAGAAACTTACAAGAATATAGAGAAAACCATCAAGGAAGACATGTCAATATTTAGACAGTATACTGAATTATGGGCTCTTAGGGAGAACTGTCTGTCAGAGGAGCGTTGACAGCTGACCGTGCAGGCAGAGGAGTATTTCTCTCCAGGTGGTGAGTCACGAAACTGACCTCCTCTGTTAGCACGTATACAAATGAAGTATAAATCACGAGTCCAAGGATGAACGCATCGAACATTGCTGCAGGGCAATGTATGTATCCAAACTCCTGCCTACCTCTCCCCTAACACGTTAGAGCAGGCTTACAGTCTAGACAGCACTGAAAAAGACGCATGTGCTTAGGTGAGATTAATTATCCATCCAGAATCATATCATCAGTGACAACAAGGCTTCCTCGAGAAGATTCACCTCTCCACAGCTTCTGTTCCACTTAGGAATTTCCCCATCACCTCCAAAAGCAATTAAAATGTTTTAACAGTTTAAGAGCTGGAAATGTTGCAGGTTTAGCAGAGTATGGCAAATTACCATGTCATCTATTCAATAATCTCAACCATCAATCAGCTTTAAAGACATTTAATGTAGGACCGTCAAAACAGCACAGGGAAGGAGAAACATCAAAAGCCGTATTTTCCTCTTTTTGTATCTAACTTACCTTATCTGAACAGTGTAGACATGATTGATAGGTTTGGGTTCCCATTCCAAAATTGTCTTGAAATTCGTTGATTTCCAAGTTAAATTATATGCTACCACCACACCTGTAGTGTCTTTAAACAAGAGGAACAGCTATTACTACATGAACTTCTTAGCACATGGTTTAACATTGAAGGTATAAAACTCCTTACCCCATAAACCTCACACTAATATTTTTCCAATGATGAAAGCTTCACTACTGAATTATCCAGAGGGGGAAAAAAAAAAAATTCAATTTTTTCCCAAACCCAGAATTTCCTCATGGTAGGCTCTTCATTGTAATGCAAGGAAACAGGCAAGGATCTTGAAATTATAGTTTGAAATCATTCATGTGGACTCCCTGTGAAGCACAGCCCAGGAGCAATCAGGGCCTTAAGGGGGTCCATGACCCCCAGCTGGGGGACCCTGGGACTCTAAGATTGAACTCTGGCATGGAAAGCCAGCTACGAAGGGTCTTCCATAAGTTATGAAAAAGGGCAAATCCCACATGTGTGAGAGCAGTAAGGCCTGCATCTAATGAAAAAGCCAAATCTTGATCCTTTTCATTTTTTATCTAAAACGTCTCTATCCTGAAACTTCAGTAGACAGCTAGGCAGGTGCTGGGCCTGTCACACCAGAGCATGTACACTGGTTAGGATGCTTTGTTATTAAGGTCTGCGTTGCCCATTCTGACTGGGCAGGTCAGTCACTGCCCTGTTTCGCACAGGCATATTGAGGCACGGACAGTGGAATGACTGCTTCCATCCAAGCGACATTCTGCAACAGGATTGCCTCTAACTCAATCTAAACTAGGAGGATCAAGACAACACCGAGGGCCGCTCTTTATGAAGTGCGCACTTAAGGATAACATCCAAACCACTGCATGCTGACCCGTGCAGGTGCGGACCCAAGTACCACCTTCAAGGTCACTGGGAAGCTCTTTTCCTAAACGTAAAGCTGGAGCCACAACTTGACAGACACAACTATCATACATATCTCCCAGGAAGCATCTCTAGCAGAAGCAGGCCGGGTCCCAGGCACCAACCGCCTACCCTCCAACTCGCGCCCAGGTTGGTCCAAACGCGGGTGGGTGAGCCTGGCTGAGTTGGGCAGGCGCTGGGGGGCACCTCCAGGCAGCAGGACGGATCCCCGCTTCGGGCAGAGCGCCCCAGGAATTCGGGGAGGCGGGCGCCACTCACCTGAGGCTCCGGCCGCCTGGACCAGGACCCAGGCGAGGAGGAGGAGGAGCGTCCTAGAGACGGCGGCCTCGGGGCAGGTCAGCCGGGGTCCGGCGGGAGACGCCATGTCCATGAGCCGGCGGCGAGGTCGGGAGGATTCGTTGCGCCCCGAAGGCTGGGCAGGCTGGGCTGGAACGCGCCCGTGGGGAGAGAGAGGGCGCGGGGAGCCGGGTCTGGAGCCGCGGGAGCCGGGCGCGCTATTAAAGGGCCGCGCGCTCCCCGCGCCTCCGCGATCCCGCGCCGCCCCGCCGGCTCCCCGCCCCCGCGGTGGGCGGTGAGTCCACACCCCTGCCCCGCCTCCTCCGCTAGGAAACTCCGGGACCCTGCGAGGAGGAGTGATTCACCCGTGATTCAACCGCTCCAGCCGCGCCGAGCTCCGAGGGGCCCTCGGTCGCTGGAGGCCCCAGGTGCCCGGGTGGGGTAGTGGTGGTGAGCGGGGGAGACCCGGTCTCCTGCCCTCCCAGGTCCTCTGACCCTCAGCCCCCTGACCTCAGGCCGCCGGGGCAGCGACTCCGCCGTCCAGCCCGAGCGGACCGCAGGTCTGTGTGGGGAGAAAGAGCGGGAGCGTTGGAAAGAGCCCTCGGGATGGAGGAGAGGGAAACCCGGTGACAGCGTGTGGTCCGGGCTGGGGGAGCGGCAGCGTTCACCAAGTTTAATAGCAAGAACCAGCTCCTGGCACCCGCTCAGCTTCACATCAAAATCAAAGGGCATTCCCCCCCCCCCCCCCGCACTTTGCCCACGTTGGGGCTGGGCCTGGGAATCTGCAGCCCAGTAACCGCGTGGCGATGCGCAGGGAGGCCCTCTCCCCGCGGCGGTTTCGTCTTCTGCCCAGAAAGCTGTGGGTACCTGGCCTTCCTCCCCACCAGGCCCTCAGCGCGGGTCCTTTGAGGAGGTGCAGATGCAGGTGTCTGCCTCAGGTCCCAAGGCCAGTTAACCCCTGAACGACCCCGGGTAGTGCCCGCGGAAAAGCAGCTCCAGACCTGGCATTTTGCCTCTGGGAGAGTTCCAGGGCGACATCTGCAGCCTCGTGGTTCCAGAAGGGATTGTTCTCACATCGAGGAAGACAGCTGTGGGACTGAGTTCCGCTCAAGAGCAGGGAAACAAAAATGAAATCAAATTATGTAACTACATTTTCGTGCCGCTACTGTTAAGTTTTGGGTTTCCTGAATTAGTTTCTGGCTTCCTCTTCTGGGCTCTGCTGTGAAATGGTTAGGCAAGAGAATGTCCACCTTATTCTACGGAGTGGCATTGCACGCGGGCTGGTCAAAGCACTTCCCGTCATTCGTTATTACTGTGTAGTTGCCTCCAAGACAGGCTGGAGAGCTTTTAGGGGGAAAGTGGATTCTTTTTTTTTTTTTTTTTTTTTTTTTTTTCCTCACCTTCTTTCCCATCTTTTTCCCCCCTAGGGATATTAGTTTTGCATTCTAGTGCATACTGCACACACATTTCCGTATAGCCCGCTGAGCCATCGCATTGCCCGCATTTCTTTAAAAAAGGAAAAAGAAAGAAAAAAAAGAAATAAAACTTTGCAAAAGTTTTAGCTTCTCCCTTTGCCTGAACTGAAATAGCACATCCAGGTTTAGCCCTTGTAGTCTTTCCGTCTTGGAAGGTGTGAGTTGCACTTGCTGGTTTCCTCTTTGAGCTCTCTTCCAGCTCTAAAACCCACAACGTTTATATTTGCAAACCTAAGCCATGCAATATTTCTTTTCGAAGTTGCTGGCCTGAGTATTTTCTAACAGATCTTTAGCCCCATGTGGAATTTTTTTTTTTTTTTTTACTCTGGAGTGAAGGTAAGGAGGAGGAAATGTTACACATCAATCAAGTATGTTAGGGGACCCAAGGAATTACTGCTATGTCTACTATTCCTGTTGGAGCTACCAACTGTCCTGAAATCATAAAGGGCTTTAAGCCATGTCAAGAATAGCATTTTGATAAGAAAAATATGTTTAACATTAGATTTTGATACAACCTTAAAGATTGATAGATCACCTGAATGTTTATTTTGCACACTCACTAAAATTATCAGACAGAGAAGAGAGGAATTTCTTGGGTGTTTGCATAGCTTTTGGAGTAAATATAGAATAACATTCTTCAAGATTTTAATAATGCTAAAATTATTACTAATTTTGAGAAGATGAGGGAGAAAATTGGCTATGATAAATATCTCACAGCAAAATTTTTTCTTGCTTGATCAGACTATGGCCAGATGCTCAGCATCATTGAAAGTACATTTTTAAAATTTCACTATTGATAGTTATTGCACAGGAACAAATTGGTTGTTAAAGAATTTCATTAACCTTACATAACAATTTTTAAAAACCCCTTCAGTAAAGTCAAGCTTAGCAGTTACCACTGTCCTTTCAACATGATATATCTTGGAGACTCTGAAAAGTTTGAAAAACTCCTCAACTTCAATCTGGCTGGCCTGACCAAACCCCTTTATGATTAGATATTAGAATGTCAGAGGGCAGGAGGGACCTCACAGACATCCTTTTAAGATGAGAATCCTGCAGTCACCTGGCCTGAGTGAAACTAGCTTGCCTAATCTTCTGGCCCCAGGAGATTTCTTTCCTTTGCCACGCTTTCTTCTACTCCCAATGCACGAAGTGCAATTGGGCTATAAGCCAGGCTTACTGGATTAATTTGTACAACTATAGGCACTTAACAATGCTCTTCAGCTAGTGAGTAACAAACTCAGTGTTCTTCAGCAGAAATTATCCTGATGGTTATTCCTTGAAACATACATGTATGGAGACATGTACGCAGAAGAGGGAGGTTGCGTTGCCTTTGCATAACCAGTGATGAAATGTGGTTGACAAGGAGTGGGAAGATGACTGGGGTAATGTTGCAGCCCTTCCTCTGTACTTTTATAGCACTCACCACCCATTTCATCCCCTTGACTATTGCGGGCTTCACTTGCTTTCCACTGTTTGTCGTCTGTCTTCCCCACTACAGCTCCTTGGGAGAATAAGGAGATTTTTTTTTTCTTTAAATTTCTCAATTCTTTGCCCAATTACTAGCACATGGTAGACTTTGTAAAAAACAAACAAACAAAAAAAAACATTTTAATTGATTTCAGAGAGAACAGAGAGGGAGAGAGAGAGAGATAGAAACATTAATGAGGAGAGAGAATCATGCCTTCTGCATGCCCCAAACTGGGGATCAAGCCCACAGCCCAGGCATGTGCCCTGACCAGGAATCGAACCTCAACCTCCCAGTTCATAGGTCGATGTTCAAAGGCTGAGCCATGCTGGCCGAGCCACATGGTAGATTTTTAACACATTTTGAATCAATGACTGCTTTGGAACCATGCATGCAGCCAAATATTTTCATTGGTATTTAAGATATGAAATTTGTCTTTGAAAATTTTCTGTCTCAGGACTGAGTGTTCCAAAATGCTTACTTTGGTAAAAAAAAAAAAAAAAAAAAATGGATTCATATATATATATATATATATATATATATATATATATATATATATATAAATCCATTGTGGCTTTTAAGGTATTACTTGACAGCAAACTTCAGCTGTCTAACTACAATTTTTCCCTGAAAATAAAACATCCTCTGAAAATAAGACCTACTCACAGGTTTCCTTCTGAGTGAAATATTAGGTCTAGTAATAATTAATGCCGTTTTCTAATACTTTTTTAAATCGAATTTATTTAAACAATACAACAAAATTTAATCAACAATATAGTTGCCGTTGTTTTCTACTACTTGTGCCCAACGCTCAGGAAGCATTTTAATCCCTCTGTTGTAAAATTCTTGTGATTTTGATGCAAAAAATTCCGTCAATGCATTTTTGAGGCATTCTTCATTATTAAATTTTTTTCCAAGAAGAAAGTTTTGCAAAGAACGAAACAAATGGTAATCAGAAGGGGCAATATCAGGAGAATATGCAGGTTGAGGAAGAACTTCCCATTCCAACTGGCGCAGTTTTTCAGCAGTGATTCTTGCAGTATGCGGTCCTGCGTTATCGTGGTGAAGAATGACGCCCTTCCGATTAATCAGCGCGGGTTCTTTTTCTCTTAAAGCTTGGGCTAACCTTTCCAATTGGGCACTATACACTGCACTTGTAATGGTTTGGTTAGATGGTAAAAGTTCATAATGAAGAATTCCTTTAAAATTCCACCAAACACACAACATCACTTTTTTCGCATGCAAGTCAGGTTTTGGCGTGGGCTGCGGAGCCTCATTTTTGTCCAACCATTGAGGCCGCCTTTTCAAATTAACATACAGCACCCATTTTTCATCTCCGGTAACAATTTGCTCTAAAAACGGCAAACGGTTTTGACGAGAGAGGAGCGAACTGCAAATTGTGACTCTTTGATTACGGTTGTTGTCAGTCAACTCATGAGGAACCCATTTTCCAAACTTTTGGACTTTGCCAAGTGCACGCAATTGATTGGAAATTGTTTTTTGTGAACAATTTAAAGTTGTCGCAAGCTCTTGTTGGGTAATTTGAGGATTTTGCACCAAAAGAGCTTGAAGAGTTTCTTGATCAAAATTGGACACACGGCCTCGACCTCTCTTGTCATCTAACAAAAAATTTCCCTCACGAAATTTCTCAAACCAACGCTGGCATTTTCTGGCGCTAACTGCATCTTGACCAAGAGCACTACAGATGTTTTTTGCAGCCTCACTTGCTTTTCTTCCTAATTGGAACTCGTAAAGCATGCAGTGCCGAATATGCTCTTCATCTGCCATCTTCTTAGCCCTAGTTTTGCAACAAAAACCAAACCAAACACAAACTTTTTCAAGCAAAACTTGTTAATTGCACTTCACACGTTCTGTAGATACCACGTGTTTGAAGGTTATGTCAATACAAGTCAACGCCAAGCAAGATTTTAAACGAATGTTAAAAACGACATTAATTATTACTAGACCCCTATAAGGCATCCCCCTGAAAATAACCCCCCCAGGCTCTGTCTCAGAATGAAAATTAATTAACCATACCATATACAGGTAATAAATTTCCTTTATTTTCATTTAACAATAAATATGTACCGTATTCTTCTTTATGGAAAAATAAGACATCCCCTGAAAATAAGACCTAGCACATCTTTGGGAGCAAAAATTAATATAAGACACTGACTTATTTTCGGGGAAACGGGGTAGGGATTACTAATCCTTCCTACTCGGGAAAATCTAATCAGCAGGAGAGGTAGCTGAACATCAGAAAACAAATGGGGAAGTTTGGGAACTGTTAGCATTTTTCGTAAAGACTGGATTCTGGCATGAGTCAGGAGAACTTTCAGCCACGTGATGAAGCTGTTGATAGCTGTCCTTGCATTGCAAAGCTTGGTGACTTTTCGGAATGAATTGCACAAAATGTATATCTTTCCAGGAAAGGGTGAAATTGAGAGTAATTCATATAAAACTATTACATGCATATAAAATGGCA